GACGGGAGGAAGTGCACCTGCTGCTGGAGGAGGCCAGGCACTGGCTTAGATAGGATGGGGGAGGGGGAGAGTTAGAGTTGGAAGCCACGTGAATACAGGGACAGGAGTGGGGTAGTGTCATGAGGATTCAAGAAAGGGACAGAACATGTTTACTATGGCAGACCGGGTGTACAGGAAAAAGGCAATACCTGTTAGTGTAGCCATAGTTATTTTTATTATTATTCTGTGGAGAGGCCAAAGTGGCTTCTAGAGCCAGGCCCTTGGCAGGCTTCCTCCCAGGATACCTAATGCCATCTCCAGGCCAGCAGAGCAAGTCCCCCAGAACCCACCGAGTCACCCCCTCAATTAGACGCCAGGGCAGTGACAGAAGTAGCAGTTCCCTGGCAGGTGTCTGCTGCGCTTGTCCGGGTATGTTTGGAAAGGTGTAGCCCCTCAGACTTTGGATAGAGGGCTCTGTCTTAGCTCCAGGTGCATGGCCACAGACTCCCCAGTTTCCTCAGAGGTGTGGGGCTAAGCAGGCTGGCCAGGAAGGAGTGTGACTGGCTACACAGCTGGTGCTGGCTTTGCACCTGGATGGCCTTTGATTAGTTGTTAGGGAGGCAGAAGCTCTGGCTCCTTCCACCAGAGCGGTGGTCCTCAGAGTTCAGCAGGCGGCCAAATCACACCGAAGGCTTGTTAAAACACAGCTCACTGGCCCTAGCCGGTTTGGCTCAGTGGATAGAGCGTCAGCTTTTGGACTGAAGGGTCCTGACCATGTACATCAGTTGCAGGCTCACTCCCCTCCCCTGGTTGGGAAACATATGGGAAGCAACCAATCAATGTGTGTCTCTCTAGAAATCAATGGAAAAATGTCCTTGAGTGAGGATTAAAACAAAAACAAAAACGAAAACAAAACACACCTTGCTGGACCCTAGCCGGGGAGTTTTTGGTTCAGTGGTTCTGGGGAGGCCAGACAATTTGCATTTCCTAAACAATCCCAGAGGTTGCTAGTGCTGCTGGACCAGGGTGATTCTTGGAAAACCACTGCCCTGGGAGACTGGGTATTTGCACACACTCCTTTTCATCCTGTCTGAGGGCTGGATGAAGGGGCAAGACAAAAGTGAAGGAATCTTGAGTTCTTATTTCTACTAACTTGCTCTGTGACTGCATTTCTGACGGTGGCCTTGGTTGTAATGGGAAGTAGCTTGTTACTTTAAGTAAGACAGGGGATTTGTTGGGGTTTGGGAATCTCTCTGAGTTCAATCAAGAATTCAACAGTTAGGGCAGACCTGGAGCCTTCAGTATCTGGAATTCACATACTGGCTGTCCAGGCACCACAGTCAGGTGATCTGTCCGCTACTAACCTCCGGTCCAGCTTATTTGAATTCCAAGTGCAGATGAGAGGTGATCTGATTGACCCACAATGGGCAGGACCTTCCAGCCCTTCCCTTACTTAACCAATAATCCACAGCAGTGAGTGATAGAGAGGATGCAGCTTTGTGATGAAAAGCACTCCAGAGAGGGTCCAGAAAAGAGGCGGGGCTGTCCCAGTCCCTACCGCCTTGAACAGAGCAGCTGTGAGCCCACAAGGAGCTTATTCGGATGACCGTGATTAAGATTCTTCCCCTCACTGGACCTCCATTTTTCTACCTGTACATGAGGGTTTGGGGTTAGAGCCTCATCACTGGATAATTGTTCCTTTCTCAAAACGGGCTTGCATCTTAACGGCTTGGGATACTTGAAAATAGAGGCCCATGTGCTCCACGCAGTGCTGCTAAATGGTCCATGACTGGTATTTTAAAACAAAGTAAAACAAAACAAAATGCCCTGCTTTGTAGCATTTGCCCAGTTTCCAGGGTGTAAATAAATACTCTCACTGTAGCCAACTTCACTAGTCAAGTGGAGCCACTGAATAAGGAGCTTGGAAGAGAGGTGCACCAGGACCCCCAGCTCACCACCTGTCTGCAGACTCAGAACCTCACAGAGGGGCTGGGACTCTGCATTTCACCCCAGGTGATCCTGGTGGAGAATAAAATTTTTGAACCCTATACCCAGAGATCTCTGAGGGCTTTTCTATCCCACATTGCCTCATTCTAAATATATTGTAAGTTCTCATATAGGCTCTGAGGGTAGGGGAAAATTTTCTCTTTTGAGAGCAATGCATGCTTGGAAGGCCTGGAGAGATGGATGGGCCCAAGTGAGGCAATGGTGCATCTGCTCCAGCCTGCCTTGTACCCGGGGCCATATCCACCTCAGCCGGTCCCCTGTGAGTGCCCAGACCCACCGTTGCTCCTGGAGGCGGGCAGCAGCATCTCAGTGATGCAGGAGGGGACTGTCGGACCTGGGGTTGCCGCTGTGGGCACTGGGATCCTGATCCACCTCTCATCTCCCTGGGTGGGCTGGCCTTTCGGCTGCCATCTTCATGAACTTCTCATCTGATATCTCCATCCCCAGGTCAGAGAGCCTGCCAGGTCATCAGATATTTTTGTGCAGGTTTCTCATCTTGATGATCTTTTCTGAGCGGGTGGGGCCAGAGTGGACACCTTCTCTTACTTGACTTGAGATGTGCTGAGTCAGAGAGAGCCATCACAGAGCCCATGAGAGACCCATCAATACCCAGCAAGGTGGAGGCAGAAGCTGGGAAGATGGAGGGGAAAGTACAAACTACTGGCAGGAGTAAAGTCTTCCTTTAGGGACCTTTCAGAAGAAACCAATTAGTATTGGGCTGGAATAATCTCTGACTTCCTCCTGTGCTCTAAAGTGGTGGTTCTCAAAATGTGACCCCCAGACCAGTAGCATCTGCACCACCTGGGAACGTTTTAGAAATGCAAATTCTCAGACTCAGAATGTCCCCTCTCTTAGAGCCATTGCCTGACAACAGGATTCCAGGTTCATTTGTGGGGGTCAAGCAATTCCCGCTCAAGAAACCATTTCTCAGTCCAAATGCCCCACAGGACTGCCATGCTGAGCTGTCCTTAGGCCACAGAGTGGATGGGCTACGACAGTAGAAGTGATGGGGGTTCTGGGATGAAGGTGGGAAACCACAGGAGACAAAAGTGACTGCTCTGGGTAGGACAGGTCTTTCCAGATGTTCTCTAGTGGGGATGCTTGTGAGGAGGCCCAGGGCCATCACAGCCTCTGCTTGGAGATGTCCTGCTTAGAGTGGAAACTTCAAGCAGTGGACAAGTTCCTGGACTGCTAACTCCTCTCTCTTCTCTTGCAGTTCTCTTAGCGTTCCTGGCTCTGGATTTTGCTGCTTATCCTCCATGATGGCCCATCTTTCTAGCCACTCTGCCTCCCATCAGAGTCTTGCCATCTCTGCATTGTGGCTCCAGCTTTCTTGGGCAGCACTTACTAGAAGTTTGGGCTTTCATGCCGTGCTTTATTCCTCAGCTCTGTCCAGCCTCATCTGGTCCTGGAGGCCAGAACCCTCCTTGGCCAGCTCCTGGACAGTGCCCAGAGTCTCTGAGGAGCCCCCTACATCAAGCATGTCATACTCAAAGGCTAACATGGGCCAAATAAACAAGGTTTAAGTTTATGTGGACCACAAAAAAAACAAAAGCTTCAATTTTCATAGAAACGTAGGTTTATTTCGATAGAGACATGCTGAATACAAAGGGATGAGACAAATAAGTTATTGTTAACATAAAACCATAGAACATTTTAATAAAAAATTAATATTTTTTCTTGAACATTAACTTACCAGACACTAAATAACTGCACACATTAATAAGCATAATGCAAATAAACCTATTTTTCTTGTTTTCCAAAAACAAAGTATTTCCTGTTGCACACACCAAACAAGTCAGTCCAAGACTAATGATGTGGCAATTGGCTGCTAAATGTTCGCTGCTAGTATTAGTGGAGAGAAATGGTACGCCTGTGTGCAAGGCCTGTAAGGGAAATGAATGCAACACGATAATAGTAATCAGTCATTAGTGAATGTTATAGTTAGTTATTAATAACTAGAGGCCTGGTGTACGTATGACATTTGTGTATGGGAGTGGGGTGGGAGGGGTCCCTCAGTCTGGCCTGCACCCTCTCACAATCCGGGACCGCTGGCTCCTACCTGCTTGCCTGCCTGCTTACCTGATTGTCCCTAACTCCTCTGCCTGCCTGCCTGATCAACCCTAACCACCCGTAAAGACTTGCCTGCCTGCCTGATCGCCTCTAACTGCTCACCTGCCTCCCTGATCACCCCTAACTGCCTCTGCCTGCCTGCCTAATTGCCCCTAACCATTCTGCCTGCCTACCTGATTGCCTCTAACTGCCCACCTGCCTGCCTGCCTGATCACCCCCAGCCGCCTTTACCTCAGCCCTTGTCGCTGTGGCTTTGTCTAGAAGAATATCCAAAATGATGTCTGGAAGTTCATTCAACTGTCTAGTCTAATTAGCGTATTATAATTTTATTATTATAGATGCCTCATGCAAGTTAACTTAGCCTCTTCATGCATCAGTTTCCTGATGTGTAAATTGAAGTTAATACCAGAACCTAGTGTTGTGAGGATTAGGGAAGTTGGTATTTGTATTTACTACCTTGCTATAACCATTCGTGGTCATAGTGCTTATTATCTTTCTGTGTATGATGTGTCTGGGCAAGAATCTCTGAGTTTGTAAATGTCTTGTGTGTGTATGTACGTATGTGTATATGTGTGTATCTGTGTTTATATGACCAGGCAGGCCTCCTGTCTCTGGGTGGAGTTTGTTGTTGGCCGAAGCCTGGATTCCGGGAGCCAGCCAGGGCTGGCGCCGGGGATGGAATTTCCATTAAGAATTAAGCAGGACAGCACTATGAAGCCAGGCAGGCCGAGAGGAGGGGGATGGAGGGTGTTGATGCTCCAACTCTGAGCGTCCTCCAGCAGCCTCAGTTTGGGACTGCCTCAGGGAAGGCCTCTGCTACCTTTGCTTTGAGTTTCAGGCCTTGCTGGGGCCATGGCCCAGGAGGATGGGCAAGGAGAGAGGACCTGCCCGCATGGGCCTTGTTAGGGAAACCTGGAGCTGCTGCGGCCAAGACTGGAGCCATGAGGCGGCCTCCCGAGAACGGAGAGGCGGCCAGCGAAGAGGGTATAGGCGGCTGGGGCCTATGGGGCCAGCAGGAGACAAGGAGGCTGGGCTGTGCAGTACGTATCTGGGAAAGTGGATGTGGTGTGTCTGTGTGCACGCGCATGTTGTGGGATGCAGGTGGGGAACATGCATATCAAGGGTCCTAAGGTAAGGTGACTTGACGTCCTGCTTCTGGCAGGACAGTCCCGATTTTTAACAATTTGTCCCGCGTCCCGCGGCATTTTAAAAAAGTCCCGATTTTTGGAAAGATTCTTTTAAATCTTTTGGACTTTTCTTATCCTAAGGGAACATCTAGCAAACCAAGTCTGTTTTTCTCTTGCCCTGAAACCCAGGCACAGAATTTGGTCCTGGAAATAAAAGATGTCTTAGGCTTTTTTTTTTTTTTTTTGGTAATATTTATCCTGTTTATGATCTAAACCTTGTTCCACTTCTAGCACACTAAACATATCTTAGCTTTCTAGGCAATTTTACATTCCTGATCCTATCCCATATTCTCAACAATCCATGATCACCAATGTAGCTATGGGAAAACAACCTCAGAGAGGTTAAGTGACTTGTCCAAGGACACACAGCTAGAAAGTACTAGAGGCAGAACGCAAAGTCAGGTCTCTTTGAGGACAAAGCCCAGACTACTTTTATTACACTGTCTGACCTACCAGAAGGGGACTCAGGGACAAGATTTTGTGAACTCCAGTGTTTATGCCCGGCCATGTGGGGGGCTGGGGCCCAAACTCTGTCCCAGGCTCTGAGAGAGCCTTTGTTGAGATAGGAACCAAAGCTACTCTCAGGAAACTTGAGTGGGGTAGTGTAGAATCAGGCTGTCCACAAATGGATGGAGACCAGGTCAAAGCTGGCTTGTTCCTGGCAGGGAGGGGGGGGATGACTTGGGTACCCACAGAGCTTGGGGTCCCAGAGCTGAGGCTGTTGAGTTAATATCAGGAGCTGCATTGTGCCCAGGACAGGAACCGATGACCATGGTTAGCCAGGGCCTGCAGAGAACAGAGACTGAGATGGGACCTTGGAGTGGTCACTGTGTTATGGAGAGGGAGCCAGCCTTCCTCTGCCCGGACACATAGTGGGGACACATGGACGTGGTTTGCACACCAGGGATTTAGGTTAGCTGCCAAGTGAACTTCCTGCCAATGAGAGGGTTCAAATTTGGGAAGAAGGCCCAAGGGAGGCTAGGGGCTGCCTCCCCTTGGTTGTGCCTAAGGGTGGGTAGACATTCCACACCCTTCCCCCCCAACATCCTCCTCCCCCCATTCTTGGCAGGTTGGAGGGAGTTGTATGGAGTGACCTTGAAGCTTCTTTCCAGTTCAAGAATGCAACATTCCTGAGCTTTTGGGTAGGAATCAGACATCTGACACAAGCGGTCCGGAGGAGAAGCTTGATGAGCCCCAAGTTAGAAGGAGTCAGGACTGTGATCTGGAGGCCGGTGATCTTCTGTGGGACTCAGGCTCCAAAGGGAAGCACCTGTGGTGAATAAACCCAGCCACTGGGACTGGGGACTGGCTCAAAGTTTGGAGGCTCCTCCGCGGAGCCTGTGAACCGCACCCACACCCCTCCTTATTTTGTTCCAGGCTCCAAGGGAAACAATCAGGGCGCATTCCCTCCCTTCTCCAGATGTTGGCTTGAGGGGCGCCTGTGGGCACCCCCGCCCGGCCCAGCCGGCTCTGAGGCTCCCGGGCGCTTACCCGCGGGGACTCCCGCCCAGCCCGGGGTGAGCTAGGTCTCTAATTAGATATGACCGCCTCCCCATTCCAGTGCTCCCCACCGAGGGGCCCGGAGCGACGTCTCCACTGCCTGGGGCACTAAAATAGCCTCGCAGCAGCGGGGCTGGGACTCTAGAAAGCGCAGGCTTGGCCGGGAGCTCGCTGTTGTGGAAGGTCCTGCAGCGGCCCAGGGAGGCGTGGGGCGGGCGGGGGCGCGGGACGGCGGGTGGCCGGGGGCTGGGCCGGCCCAGCGCAGCCACTTGCTCGGCCTCTGGAGCCCCAGCTGCGCCGCCACCGCTGGCCGCTGTGCGCACCCCGCTGGCCCGCCAAGTTCACCTGAGTAAGTAGATACATGGCTGGCTGGATTCAGGACCCGGCAGCAGAGCCGGGGACAGAGCACGTGTGCGACTGTTTGGACAGTAGGTCTAAGTGTGTCCGTGTGAGTGCCATTGGGCAGGAGTGTGTGTGGGCTACCACGGTGGTAGCACGTGGAACTTTCTAGCCTTGTCCCAGAGTGTGAGTGTGGGTGTCGTAGTTGTCCGTGTGTGTGTGTGTGTGTGTGTGTGTGTGTGTGTGTGGACTGGCATATAAGGGACTGGAGGGTGCCCACAGGTGGCCTGTGTCTGTGGCCGGCAGCCATGTGTGGACCATGGAAGTGCACTCAGGGATATGGGAGGAAGGCTCCCTGCCGGCTGAGTGATGGAGAAGTGTGTGTGTGTGTGTGTGTGTGTGTGTGTGTGTGTGTGTGTGCCGGCGCTGGCAGGAGCCAGGGGTAAAGAGTGTTATCTGAACCCAGACTTTCTAGGGTGACCTGACTTGTCCCTACTTGGGGTGTCTTTTCTGTGGGTCATCTGGCTTTGGTTTCTCAAGACTAAGCAGGGCAGGAGCTCAGAGCCTTCACCCAACACTACAGGGATTTCGGCTGGCTGGCCGGGACAGGGGAGACAGCTTGGAGGGACCACTGTCACACCAGAAGAGGCAGGAGGAAACGGAGAAGGGCTGAGCAGACACAGCCATGCCCACCCGCACACACTCACAGGGCACCCACACCCACACGCACAGCTGCTCCTGTGTACAGACATTCCTGCCCACACACTAGTCTCGCAGTTCCTCTCAGGACATCCATGCAAACATTCACGTACTTCCAATGTGTACAACTGCAGGCAAGGACATAGAGGCAATAGGCACCTATATGTGTGAAACATGTATGTACGCAAACATGAACCCCTGGCTAGATCTGCTCTCAGCCTGCAACCCCCCTTTTAGACTCCATTAGCCTGTATATGGCACTTAGGACAATGAATTCAAGAAACTAGCCTTGGTAGGGAATATCTTTTAAAAAAAATATATTTTATTGATTTTTTACAGAGAGGAAGGGAGAGAGATAGTCAGAAACATCGATGTGAGAGAAACATTTATCAGCTGCCTCCTGCACACCTCCTATGGGGAATGTGCCTGCAACCAAGGTACATGCCCTTGACCGGAATCGAACCTGGGACCTTTCAGTCTCCAGGCCTTCAGTCTGCAGGCCGACACTCTATCCACTGAGCCAAACTAGTTAGGGCGGTAGGGACTATCTTAAGTCAGGGGCTTTGGCTGGGTGTGTGGGCAAATGGTGACACAGTACCCTTGGGGTGCCCCATTTGATCTGGAACTGAGGCTGCAGTGGAGCCTGGGGTCTTAGGGTCAGGACTTTAGAAATTGCTTTTGCTGTCTTACAGGTTAAAAGGCCAGTCTGAAGTGGAGCCACACCTGTAGTTTGCTCCAGGCTCTAGTTTATACTCGGGGTCCCCCTGCAGCAGACCAGCAGTGTGGTCCGTCTGTGTGTGGCTGGGGTCTGAGCAGCCCGGTGCCAGGGAGGAGCAGTGAGTTGAGCTGGGCTGGTTCCTTTTCGTCTTTGGTTTCAATCAACACTATTTGTAGAGTAAAGATGGGAGTGAAGGGTCGGGGAGGAATTCCCTAGTTCAGTGTTTCCCAAACTTTTGATATATGTGTACCCCTTCTATAATTTTCGTAACGCTGAGTACCCCTCGTACTCATGAGAACATAGACTTAGGCGCAGCTAAGCACGGTGCAGTGCATATCCCCACCAAACTCCAGTGCAACACGTACCCCCACCAAACTCTTCCCGTACCCCTGGGGGTACGCGTACCACTCTTTCAGAAACACTGCCCTAGATCATTCTTTAGTGAGGTTCCCCAACAACTTTATGACTCCAGAAAGGCTCCCCAAAACTGGAGGAGTCATGGTGACTCAGTCTCAGGCTGTTTCCCCATTCTTTTTAAAAAATATATTTTATTGATTTTGTACAGAGAGGAAGGGAGAGAGATAGAGAGTTAGAAACATCGATGAGAGAGAGTCATCGATCAGCTGCCTCTTGCACACCCCCTACTGGGGATATGCCTGCAACCAAGGTACATGCCCTTGACCAGAATGGAACCTGGGACCCTTCAGTCCCCAAGCCGACGCTCTATCCATTGAGCCAAACCGGTTTTGGCTATTTCCCCATTCTTTATTTCAGAGAAACAACCCCACTAAGTTATCATAGTTCCAGTTTAAAGAAGAGAAATCAGACAACAGAGTAACAATAATAACAACCACCATCTTTTGTACCTTTAATATATGCTTTATTTTATTTACTTTTCATAACAACTTTGTTAGGTCAGTAGTCCTCTATCCCCTTTTTTCCTGATAAGAAAATTAAGGCTTAGGAAACTCAGGGATTTCTACAGGTTTGTGTGACTCTTATGCTGTTTATATAATTGGTGTATTTCCCTTTTTACTCTGGCTGCCATGAAGCTCTTAGTCTATCATATTGCTCCATTCTAGCAACTGTTATTCCAAATCTTGGCTTCAACTTTTAATTTCTGCTTAAACAACTTCATAGTATTCACATTTTAAACTATAAACTTTTTAGTATTCACATTTTTAACTCCCACATCTTTTGTAGAGAGAGATTAGAATAAGTGAATGAACAATCAGCAATTGAGCATTCTCTTGGTCTCTGAGGATGGGAACCATATTGCATGGATTTTTTTTTTTAACATCCCCAATTGCAAATATTTTATCTGGTTTTCAAACCATATGTCTCAGTTTTGGCTTTGGTATGTTGGGACTCCTCTTCGTGACCATGTCTTAAAGCTTTTCTTTCTAGCGGCTCTGAGAGATAATGCCCATCTCTGTGCTGGCCCAGACAATGGGGATTGTTGGAAATGAATTGGGCCATTGATAAATGCCCCCTGCTCTGAGTGCTTTAGCTGCCAGCTCTTCCCTGACTCAAAAGCGTGAGTGTGTGGATTCCTGAAGGAGTTTGACCCCTGCCCCAAGCCTGGCCCTGGCCCCAT